CTGCGCGCAGGAGCCGAGTTTTAATTCAGTTTAATTGATTTATCTGTATTTTTTTAACGCTTCTTTCATAACATCGACAATTCGTTAATTATTATTTGCCTGTTCATTCGGCTGTTGTTTTCTTTTCTGTTGCTTTCTTTTGTTTTAACATTGATCATGGTTCACCCTGTTTTTCATTCCCCCCCCTGTCTGCAATCAACTTCTCCATTCCAATAAGGCTGGGCACAGAGTAAGTTTACTCCTCTTGGCTGTTGCTAACACTGGTGGTAAGGGCTTGTCAATGTTACTAGATGATACGGATGTCAGATGGGACACGTGAATTAGCGGCTGCTGTTCAAAGCATGCTCGAGATTGCACCTAAATTCCCAGTTAAAGCCAGATGGCATAACGTTCTTTGCCACTGTTTCGTGCTGCAGATAGCTGTGATTATTAAACACGCTTCAGTGCTTTTAATTAGGTTTCGTTACCGTAGCTTGCCAAGTTTTTCTTTAATTAATGGGTGCTCAAATGTGATCTGGGGGTTGGCCACTTTGTCAGCAAAGGAAATGGTCTTTGTTGAATGCACACACTCTGCTGACTTCAGTGGGGTTGTGTGGTTTAAGTGGCAGGGTAATTTTATTCAACGTTAAATACATAACTGGCATTGCATGTCCAAGTCCCTTAAGCATCACTCAGAGAATCTATCTATTGCTACTTTGATAATCAAAATCACTTATTACCCATTTTCTACTTGCATTCAACTATAGCAGCTCTATACTGATGGTAGGAAGGGTATTTTTCACTGGCTACTCTTGAAAGACTATAAAAAATGTCTTTCCCTCCCCCCACCCCGTTCTGGGTTGGTTTTAAGTTGGCAGCTCATTGATTCAAAACCTCTTGTATTGCTTTACCAATACTTTCATCCATCTGTTCTCTGAAGATGTGTAGCTTTGCTGATGGCATGGAAATGCCCCGATAAAACCAAAACCCAGACAAAAAAGCCACCCAAGTTTTGCTTTTTTGATGCCTGTTAGCATGAAGACAGCTGCATGGCCTAAAATACCAAAAGTAAATATTAAAAAAGATAATTTATTAGCATAGTTGTTACTTCTTATATATGTATCTGTGTGCTGCGTCTTTTACAAGCGCATTTGATGGCTGTCATTTGAGGTGCTGCTACTAACAAAGTGTTATGGTTGGAAAATAAACTTTTTATTATGGAGCTGTTCATCAAGTTAACAGGGATGACTGTAGATCCAGTGTTTTTGCAGTGCAGTGGTGTCACATCCTGTGCTTTATAGAGCTTTTCATGCCCTTTTTGCATAATTAATTTATTGCTGTTGCTCGCATTAATTCTTTATTTGCACATTTAAAGCCTGTGCTGTTAAACCATGGTCTTACTTCACCTGAATCCTTAATTTTGAAGCCCCCATTAAATTTGTGTTCTCCTTGCAGCTGTTGTACTGCAACTATGAGCATCTAGAACTGGTAACAGCACTCTGTGTAGGATGTTTAGGAGTGCGGTTTATCTTCTCTGCAGTGCCCTGGTTCATTGTTTTTTAATCTGTTAGTCTTACTCTTGTTCAGTGGTTCCTCAATAAGGAACAAGCTTCATGTTCTGGTCAGCTATTAACACATTGCAAACTTTCAGTGCTTGTTTTTGCCTTTTTATTTTTTTATTTTGGGTAAGAAAGAGAACAACTTAGTTAAAGTAGGAAGAAACTGGGTTTGAGTTTTAAGGGGAATTGGCCACAGGTTAGCCAGGTCTGTGCTTGGGAACATGTGTTAGGGATAGTTTATGGTAGTTCCTAAATTTGTGTAAAATACATCAAGTAGTAACATTTCTGTTGTTGCACCTTGCAATGGCTTTCAGCAATAAAATAAAGAGATTCTGTAGGCTGTTGTGTTGGTAAGGCCCCCTCTGGGTAATGTCTATGGTAGTAAGGGCCCTGTTTTCCCTCAATATAATAATATTCCATCACAATTTCAGTCTTATTCTAGTAGACATCAAAATGCCAAGTTATGAAACTGAAGAGCACATTGTAAAGCTTTCTGTTTGCTTGTGGTTCTTGTCTTAATGAGCATCTTGTAACGATCTTTCTTTCTTGTGGTGACACCTAAGTTGGTGTTAGTACTGGGAGATCTTCACATTCCACATCGATGCAACAGCCTCCCAGCCAAGTTCAAAAAGCTGCTGGTTCCAGGGAAGATCCAACACATCCTCTGCACGGGAAACCTCTGCACCAAGGACACTTATGACTACCTCAAGACTCTGGCTGGAGACGTCCATGTTGTCAGAGGGGACTTTGATGAGGTAGTGTCCTCTCTTGATAATGACATTGGTTTTGTCCATCTGCATAAAGGGTTATTTGTAATGCAAGTAAAAGAGGGCAAACTGAGCTTGGGTGGTGGAACAGGACTTGCTGCTCTCAGACCTCTTAAGTTTATTGCATCCTGCCCCAGTCTCCAGTGTTGTAGCTCTCATTGTGTAGCAGCAGAGCCAGTCACATTGACTGGTGTCCCTGCCTGTGGCAGGGGGTTGGAACTGGATGAGCTTTAAGCTCCCTTCCAACCGAAACCTGTGATTTGTGATTCTATGATATGAGTCTTAAGAAGCTTTCTCCCTCTGTTCTTGGTGTTGCATAGAGTTGTTTTTAAACTGTAAGTCTGCAGATCTGATCTGTGTTTGGTTTCTTTTTTAGAACCTGAATTATCCTGAACAGAAAGTTGTAACTGTTGGACAGTTCAAAATCGGGCTGATTCATGGCCATCAGGTTATTCCCTGGGGTGACATGGCCAGCCTGGCACTGCTACAGAGGCAGTTTGATGTGGACATCCTAATTTCAGGACATACACACAAATTTGAGGCATTTGAACATGAAAACAAGTTCTATATCAATCCGGGATCAGCTACAGGAGCCTATCATGCCTTAGAGAAGTAAGTGAAGTATGGGAATTACCTGTGGGGATAACTACAAAACTCATTATGAAAGTTAATGTTGACATTCTAGATGCTGGGCAGAGGAAGGGCTGATAGTAGCAGCGAAACACTGCTGAGGGGATTATATACTCACAATTAATATGAACTTTTCCCTCTCTTTCCAGCAACATCATTCCTTCATTTGTGCTGATGGATATCCAAGCTTCCACGGTAGTTACATATGTCTATCAACTAATTGGAGATGATGTGAAAGTAGAAAGAATTGAGTACAAAAAATCTTAAACATGTTTTGGCTTGTCTGGTACTTTTACCATCTCATTCTGAACTGCAAATTCCAATACTTGATTGCTAGTTTACAGTCCTACCCTTACTCACTAACAGCTTAAACAATGTAGCTTCTTGGTAATAACTTTAAAACAACATTGTGTTTGCTTTTCTCTGTATGAATTGATTTGTAAAATTTTCCATTAAAGTAACTGTTTAAATACTGTTCCTTTATGTTGTAATAAACTCCACTTCATAGAAAAACTAAGCTTTATGAACTGGTGTTGAGGAAAAAAACGCACTAGTTGTAGGTGCTTTTAGAATGCCCCATGCTCTGTTTGGTGACTTTTGAAGGATATTTAATTGCAAAAGGCTTGAACAAAAAGTTTGGGGGCTCCGGGGCCATGTTATGTTTGCTTCAGAATCCAGTTGATGATACTTAATTTTCTCCTTCTAACATTCCCAGTTAAGTTGGAAGAATAAAATGGATTGATTCTGAAACTATTGCAGTTAACTCGTAACTTACAGTAGTAATTGCACTATAGAAAGTTTAGTCTTTTTATAATCAAAGTGGTTTCAAATACCACTATGCTTTAATGAATGATGGTCTCATTAACTCTATAATCAGTGAAGAGAGCCTTGCCTTTATTTATGGCTTATATCTGACACTACAGATACACACACTTCGCTCCACGTGCAGAGCTTTTAAATATGTAATTCCATATGACACTCATGCTGCTACTGGAGATTAAGACATGGGTTGTTCAAGACTGCTGGGCTTTCCTTTCTCATGCCTGCAAGGAACTGAATATATTTTAACAGCTCCCATTTTGCTAACTTTCCAATAAAAACACAGCTTTAACTTTTGTCTTCTGCAGAAGAACATTTAGTGGTGGCCTGTTTACTTTGCAGCTGTTGGCCTTTGTATTATGACTTTTTCCAGTGTGGTATCTGTGCAAAAAGCTGTGCAATATTTGTCACAAAGCTTTTAAGTTTTATGGAAAAGCATTAGTTTAAAGGATCAGCTAGAACCCTTACTCTGTAATGAGCTGACTAAATAACTTCTGTTCAAAATAAATCTGCTTTACCTTAGAGACCAGTGTTTCAGCCTGCTATCTCGGGGGACTTCTGGCTAACTGCTACTTCATGCAGTGAAACGTGGCTATTGCTTTGTCCTGCTGCAGACACACAGGAAGAACAGTGTTGAAAATAAGAGCTTGGCACATGTTACTTGAGGAAGGTTAGTGACTAAGTGGAACAACAGCATAATTAAAAAGGCTTATAGAATACCATAAGGCCAAAATTGATACAGAAGTCAGTTTATTTGTGCTCACTGTAGGTAAAATTACAATTAGACTACAAAGTGTATTTTACATCAAGTACAGCATTTACAATTTTAAAAACAGTTTATCAAAATTACACAAGGTTATGTTTGTGTGAATGAAATCTTAGAGATGCAGACTTAAACATGGAGATACACAGAAGGAAATAAACTAATCCTTCCTAAAATGAAAGTGCAGAATATGAACATTATTGTTGAGTAAAAACAGGGAATTCTGCTGTAAATCTGAACTGATTCAACAGGGATAGAGTCTGGAGAAGAAACAGCCTTGAACAGTTAAAAAAAATGTGGAAAGCTCACAACAGCTCTTGGTATAAGAGCATTGAGGTTTTAGTTTAATGTTCACTTGACCGTAGGAGCATTCTCAATGCATGGCCTTCCTCTTGCCAGCAGAGGGAGAAAAGGGTAAATCAAGATCTTACCGATGACAGTTCAGTATAGAGGTCTCTGGTCCATTCACATACATCTGGAAGGTGAAAAAACCATTATTAACAGGGCTTAGGAACAGGGGATAGCATCCAAAAGCTGTGAAGGTACCTGAAAGCGTAATGTTTAGCATGGCACAGATTTGGTCCAAATAAAATGAATTATTTTAATAAAGGCATATTTTTTATATACAGTATATTTTACTAAAATAAATCAGCTAACAAGTATTTTTGCTAAAAGTTAAGGCAGATTCTTAGTGTAGAAAAAAGGGAGAAAGCACTGCATGAGGTACAGAAGTGGTTTGTTTTACCTTCAGAAGGTCAGATGATGGTACCTCTGGCAGAGTGGGGTTTCCACATTTCTCTTGATACTCTCGAATTAGGGCTGTAGCATCATCAATGCTGTAGGAGGCAAAAGTTTATCAACTTTGTCAACTTAAGCTCCCTAAAAGGCCAACAATTCAGACTATATACACTGAAGTGGGACAATAAGGTATGACTCCACATTTTTGCAGATGGCTCCTGTCATTTCCCAGTACAGGGAAAAAAGCCATGACAAGCCTAGCATTTAACCTGCTGCTGCTAATAAAATCAGTGTATACTAGAGTTTAAACAGTTATTTACTGGTTCCTGTCCCGTTCTGACTGCAGGATAGCTGGTAACTCACAATACTGAGTATTTGGGGTGTGAAGTGAAAGGCTGCAGCTGTGCTCAATGCCCCAGTGCTGCGAGTCACCACTGATGGATTCCTCATTGAGAACAGCCTTGCAGCAGGCTCATTGGCAAGCCCCTTTGTTTTATTTAAGTGGAACCTAAGAGGTAGTTCTAGCTCTTGAAAACCACTAATTCCTAGGTGTGGAGCACAGGTAGTTCATTTCTTTTTTTCAGTGTTTGTATTGCTGCAGTTGTGACTCCGGCACCTCCGAGCTGAGATCATCTAAAGGTATGGTCAAGCCATTCAAAAGTATTTGCTTTTTCAGTCAGGTGATTTGTGCTGTTGTAACTGTATTTGATCTGATTGCCAGTCCAGGCTCTAGAAGCTGTTACCTTGCCTTGAATATCACTGTGAAAGTCTGGCCTAAGACTGCAAAGTAGTGAGGTGTGATTCTTTTATTCCTTTACCTTCCAAAATTATTGGGCACTAAGTACTAGGAAATCTCCATGACATAAACTAAACTAAAAGAGAGATTCAGTTTCTGTAATTACCATCAGTAATGCATCACTTGTTTTGCCTTTTATTAACTTACCAGTTCTTTTTGACAAAATAATCCACCAGTTCTTTTAGTCTGTGAGTACTCATCAGTTGTTGCTTCAACAGTGGAAAATACTTAGTTTTCAAGAATTTTTCATACAGCTTCTCATTTATGATACTGTCCAAAACCAAAGATCTGATCTGTAGGTTAAAGTTTTAGTAATGAAAAAGTATTAATATATTAAACATGAGAAATGTTATTTTTGAATGAAAGGAGCTCAGAGTTTTCTTGCTGGACTCCTATAGAGCAGGGTTATTTGTTTATTTTAAACTTTATGTTTTAGTGCTGAGAAATGGCAGCTTTTATGAAGATTAATCTCAGATTCAGATAGGGAGTGAATTAAGAAACTTGCCCTTAGAAAGGCAGCCCAAGGTAGAGTGCAGTTCCATAAGCCCTTTGGCCTTTTAGCTTAAAATACTATTCAGAAAAATAAAGTAGTGCTGCTGCAAACAAGGCTGGCCCACGAAGAGAGCAGCCTGTAACACTGTGTGTATATACAGTTTACATACACAGGAGTTCTTCAGTTGCACAACATCAATAAAAATGCAAAAATCCCTGCAATTGTTGCCCTGTTTCACAAGTATGTCAGCTAATGCTTGGCAAGATCAGGGGAGAGGGGTAAAAAGGTTCTCAGTATCTTTTTATCATCTTATCTAACAAAAAGCCCCCAAGTCAAAGGCAAGCAAAGTAAATGATGGTTATTTACCTGAGAAGCAAACGCTACTACTTCTCCAGTGTTCATGTGCTCATCTATTTGTTGCAGCACAGTTTCTGTGTTACATGTCGATAAGAAGCCCTTGTAAAAATAAGTTACAAAACGTTAGTAATATGAGTGATTAAAGTAGAAACTCTTCCTTCAGGGCAAGTATTTGATTTATTCAGGAACAATGAGTATTTTGAATTTGTAGATACAAACATGAAATCATCCAACCAGGTCCTGTGGTCTTTGACTGAAAGATAGTACACCTCGCTTTTAACTCTCACAGGGTATTTTGCTGTAGCTGTTGTAGATGATTTGGGGTTTTTTTGACTCATTGCCAACAGACTAAATGTCTTACACAAGTGCTGTAACTTGGGAAAATCTTTCTGAGCTTAACTTGAATGACTGGAAGTCTGAATTTGAGATGCCTTTAGTGGTGCCAGTTTGCTCCTGACAAACATGGGAATGGCCTATGATGATTCACCTGGGAGAACAATGCAGAGCATAAATTAATGGAAACAAATGAGAAGAGAGGAAACTCAAGATACGTGAATAGTAAGGATATGGCTTTAAGGCAAAAGGTTTTTATCAGAACTTGTGATGCATATGAATCATCTTTCTGAGAAGTCAGGGGCTTCCAACTCAACACTTAGTAGGATTCAGGACTTTTCTTACAATCTGTTGTCAAACTACCCCATTGGTAGCTCCTTAGCAATTATGTATGTTATCATCAACTCCAAACTGCTGTAGCAGGTATATGGCCTATGGCTTGGGTTTTGTTGGGGCTTTTTAACATGGGTTTCTGGGTGGGATCCCATAAAATGTCCTCAGATTCACAAAGGGCAAAGTCATATGACACAGCTGTTGAGGACGACTTGAGGCTGCTGCTTTTGCTTTAAAAAAAGCCGAAAAAACCCAAAAAAAGGAAGTGTTCACATGATCCCTTTTAGAAGAACAAACTCAGAGGAACAACCTTTGTGGATGGGAAATGCTGAGCAGCTGCCAGCAGTGACATATTTAAACAAACTGGAACTATATGTTACTATCTTTCACAGTCTCTGTTGAATATCACACACTTAAAGGCATTTCCCTTGCACAGGTAGAACACAAAACTTACTATTTACCTGGATTTGCTGTTCTCGCTTCTCAGACTGAGGGATCAGCAACAGGCACCCCAAAGCAAAGGCAGGAAGGTCCAACTGTGCATATTGCTTAGCTATTCCGATGACATCCAAGTCAGCCAGAACAGGACACCTTCACAAGAAGATGAGGAATGATATATAAAAAGTTCTCAACATATATATATATACATACACACATGTAATTTTTAAGCCAGATAGGATAATACAGTTTTACTTCATCGTTTCAGAAACAACCAAGATACAGGAGTTGAAGTTTTCTGTAATACAAAAGCATGACAATTTTCTAGCTTGAAAACAAACCCCAACTCCTTCTCTTTCAAACACTCAAGGCCCTATTTTGAGGGGAAGTGTTGGCCAACTGCTCAGAGTAGTGCTTTAGTACATAGGTATATATATGCACAGTGGTGTAGGCATGTTCTTCAGCTGGATCCTTTTCCAGTATTTCCTATCTAACCTTTTAGTTCAAGTTGGACTCTCTGAGCTCTTGTGCTTCTCTTGAGCAAGTCAGAGCATTGTGGTGAATGAGATGATGATTTATTGTGTTTTGGTTTTTAAATTGTAAAGGCAATGCAGGACTGCTTTATGCACAGAGTGCTTTGGAACATTAATACCATAGGTTAAGTGCATTTATAGATGTGCAGCTATTAGATTTTTGTCATGTCTTTGTAGGAAAATTAATTCTTTCTCTCATACACTCTGTGTTAGTGTTTTAGGAAACATGCCAGTTTGTGGGCTAAGAAAGAGATTAAGCAAGTGGACTTTTAGTGTTGACCATCAGTCCTTTAAAAACGTCAGGACAGGAACAGCTATCCCTCATGGGGGCAGACAAATTGGTTTTCATCAGCTTGTGCTGCTGGTTCTGAGTCTCAACTCAGAGAGCAGTTCCCAGCACAGTCTGAAGAACCAAGGTACTGAGTTACAGCACGTGTTGTCAACAGCCTGCAGCCAAACACAGAATTTCTTTTTAGGTATGTGCCCTGATCCTGTGCTTCCCACGAGGCAAAATGTTCTTACTCGTGCCTCGGGTTCCCTGGTTTTCAGAGCTCCTTTGCATGTTCCAGGGAGGCTGTTGCATGAGAAATTAAACAGGCATTCCCACTCAAATTAATACAAATACAGGATTTACTACCTACTTACTTGAGCAGAATCACAAAACACTCGCAACATTCCTCTAACTGTTTAGGACTCGGTGGACATGAAGCTAAGAAATAAAGAGAACATGATAAAGTAAATATATAACCAAGTTACTAGACAAGCCTGACAGCCAACACCAACTCTACCTGTGAGAAACGGTGACAGAACCACGCTTCGCCACGCTCGGCTGAAGTTGGGAATCTGTTGACAACAAAGCAATTAAGGTAATAGCCAAATACAGTTGTAACTAAGTGTCCTGGTAAACACAGACATCCTGACCCACTGTGGGTAGAAGAAGCCTGTCAATTTTATTTTCCTTCTATCCTGGATGTATTATTCCCTAATGCTGCTTTCCTCATCTCATAGTCTGAGATTTAGCCGTATTTTGAGTAATGGCAACACTACAAAACCATCCAAGTAAGTGTTTACTGAGGGACTCACAAATGCAAGATATGCTGTTTCAGTGATTAATAACAATGCTCATCTGCATATTGCTTTGTCATAAAGATAGTAATTCACAAAGAATGTTTTCATGCATAACAGTTCATGGCATAGATTCTGCCATTCACATAACGCAGAGGATGCTAAATTCCTGTTAAGTGAAGAAAAAAAAAACTTACCTCCCATAATGAATAAATCCCAGTAATTGCTATCAAAACTCTTCTTAAATATTGAATCTGAAAAGAAAAATAATAGATTTCATTATAAAATACTACAGTGCTTTTGAAGATTTGGTGATAATCTACACAACTGCATTACACTTATTGTCTTGTCTGCAGAAACTTAAGAGTTCCTCAAGGTAACTCTGTTCCTGTGGGAGGACTAACTGATGCATATGGAAATATGATTTATAGCTCAGTAAATTAAGTTATCACAAGCAGTAGCAGCATATGTTGTCTCAGTAAATAGCCAAGATTTCTGTTAGTCTTAATACAGCTGGTGCTGAAAATTTATGATCCCATCTTCTTTGCTATTAGTACCTGAATCTCATTAGATTACAACTGGCTTCAATACCTGTTCCTAATAGATTCAATACCTATCCTGATAGATAGGTACAGCTGTTACCTCCTTAGGCTGTAGCAATGTTGTATTAAGTTTGACAATGAAAGGTAGTTAAGATCGAGTGACAAAAATCAGGATTACTATCATCATAAATACATTTTAGGGGTAATAGTTTTGTGTGTATGTACACATATGTATATAGATAAATGCACAGTTTGTGCATGTGTTTATGTATTTGCACACAAAAATATGTATATGTTGCAAAATTTATAATAATATGAATAAACATTTCAATTTATTACCGTAGGATTTACTCTTGCCATCTGCAGGCTTTGTGCCTTAGTAAACCCCAACAAACTAGAACAATTTAAGATCAAAATTCTCAAGCAGTACTGCTAAAACACACATTCCTCAAAGCTTCATTCATTCAGTATCCAAGAGCCCAAAGTAACCATGTAAATGATCAGTAATTGCTCACAGTATGTTTATAGTTTATCTATTTTCCCATTCTTTAGGACTCAGTGGATAAAAAAAAGCCTTTTTCTAAAACACCTTGCTGCAGAACTTCATGCTTAAAAATTCCTTACCATATTGAAACTCTGGAGTTTCTGTAGTAGGCCATTCCACAGCTGGGTATCATATACTTTGTATTCTAGACTAAGTTCTGCCACCAGTCTGACAGCCTGAAGGAGAGCAAGGACACGGTGCATTTTAACATACATTCATGATCTTCAAACCTGTACTGCTTGCCAGCACACAAAGCTTGGGGTCTTTTTTCTCCCTCTGAAAGAGGAGAGTAGTTGGGAGAGTACATACTCACTGCTATTTTTAAATATAATTGTGAGTAGTGTATCGTGAGTAGAGTCTGAATAGGAGAGAGTGCACTAAAGCAACATGTTCAGAAATGCAGGTGCTATGTAGAAAGATGAACGTGTCACACAGCATGTAACAAACAATTACAAAGGATTTAAAGATCATACCGTGGGTTCATGGCTGTGATTCTTCCATAGCCCTTTGATCATTCCTTCCTTAGGACTCTTATGAAACGATTCGTAAGTATATGGAATATTCAAGATTTCAAACTCTGCCAGGTAAATGCAGCATTTTAGAAAATACCTGTAAAAAAGTCCCCCCAACACCCAGAGTTAATGATGGTTAAAGGGATTATTATAATATAATTTACATAATCAAGCTCAGGATAATAATGGGAAAGCGTTCTGTTGCTTAAAAAGAAGAAAGGAAAAATAACATGGACTGTATTTGTGCTTATGATTTCAATGAAGTAAAAAACTTTCTGGTAACTGCTTAGGGAAACCTCATTTATCTAGAGGATGGATGGTTTGGATCATCTCTAAAGATAAACCAGTTACTATAACTCTAGCAACTCAAAGGTCATTCATGCACAGTGACTGCATGTTTACAGAATCACTTACAGGTGTGGTGTGATGAACTCTGAAAAGATCACTTTCCATGAAAAAGGCCCTAACTCCAGATTACCAGCATAGAAACTCCAGGCTAGGTATTTTCATAGTTAGTTCTACAGATATTTTTGAAGTAACAACATTTTGCTGTTGGGGTTTTGGTTCCTTATTTTTGCGGAGGAATAGGTCTTTGCAAGATGACCAGTTCTGATACAGATGGTACGATGTATATGGGTAGGAGAAAATGCTTCAGTCACTAGAGAAGTCACTGCAATCTATGCAAAATGGAGCAAGATCTTTTCCATGTAAATGTCATATTACTTTCAGGTTTATGAATTAGGACTGTGATGCACCTGATCACATTACAGTGAAGTTAAAAGATCTAATTCTGCTCTTTAGAAATTCACTTTAAAAGCTCAAGGAACAGGTTAGTAAAAATTCTCCAAGTGTCATGTATTTTTTTTCCAAGGGCTGTTAAAGACCAACAAAGCATCATTATTAAGGAACACCTTAAGGAAAATTCTTCTTACTTTACTTTCTCAATGGTTTTCTTGAAGAGTGATTCCACAGTGCTGGTATCCGCCAAGTAGAGCAGACACTTAAGTGCTCTACTCCTGTGAGCAAACGTCAGCTGAGTGACACCAATTGGCTGAGAGGGGGAGAAAAAAACCCCAGTGAAAAGTCACAACAATTGGTTGAACAACTAGAAAGAGGGTTATACGTATTTACTACATGTTTATTATGATCCTTTCTAAGATGTTTTTGATTCATTTAGTGGAAATACATGCTAAACAACAGCCTGGTTCACGTTCGACTTTTCTACTAACCAGACTAACTATTTGTCAGCTTCAAAGAACGCTGCTAAACCAGGTGGTTTTCTAGACTTAAGACTATTATATCAGGCAAGAAAAATATTAGTGATATATAGTATCACAAATACGTTAAGACTGAAGATTAAGATTCTGCTAAATCAGTTCTACCACTCTGCTTTAATTCCACCCAAACTTAGCCAATGTATCACACCAGCTTAAAGTACATTCTAGAAAGACATTTAATGAAGTTAGATATTATCAGCAATAAATTTAGAAAACCAAAGTTCAAGGGCTGCTCTTGACAGTCAATAGCAAAATTCAATGGACACCCCAGTTCTACTCCAAAGATGAGGAGAGCTTATACAGATACAGAGGCCTTAGAATGAAATCTATGCAGTTAGGTAGACAACACTTGACTTTAGTAAGAGGTAAAAAAAGAAGTAGCAAGCTAAAATAAGAATTTAGGAACTTACAGATGTGGCAGATGTTGTAATTGCAAAAAGCAGTCTTGAACTGTAATCCATTGGGCGAGACTGAAGTAGATAGATAACTCTGCAAGAATGCATTTGGTTTTAATACACGTATAGCACCACAACTGAAATAAATGTGTCAATATTCATTCAAATATAAATATATTTCTCTGTCAAAAAGCAACTAGGGGTAAAAGATTGCAAGGATGTAGAAAATGAGGAGAAAGCCTCCAAATAGCTACTCTTAATTACTTATATCTGTAAATTGCTGTAAATGGCATTTCATTGCATAAGTATTTGATGATTCAAATCTGATGTCACCAGAAAGTAAAAATAAGACCACAACAGTGAGTTCTGAATCACACTGTCAGGTTTTTTTAAGAAGCCGGGTACAGTTAAACCTGCCCATTAGCAATAATACTGCACGTAAGACAACACACATACCTTCGGAGTTCTGCATCTTCCTGTGCATCTCTGAAGATTTCTTGAGTTTTCTTTAGAAAGACATGAAAATCTAGTTGTGAGAGTTTTCTAAATTGTTTGGATAAATAAGTGGGTCATATTCTTGCTTAAGGCCTGTCTTAAAAGCTGGGTTCCCCAGCTAATGCAGCCACAGAAAGGAATTCTGGTTTTATGAGCCCTTCTTTATTTGTTGGCAGTCAACACCATTTCCCAGCCTGCGAGCTGGTGTTCCAAAGCAGAGGCAATGCCTTCTCCCTGCCCTTTCTCACCCAGCTGTATGCTGCAGAGACAGCAGTTAACTCTGTTAGCAACAGGAGAGGATTCATTCTCTTTCCAATTCTAAAAATCAGTGTTTGTTGATGCCAGTATATTTACACCTCCTTTACTCTGGCTACACAGCCTTATTGTAGTACAAAGATAAGATCTTAATCTCTCTACAGAGAGAAGGGAAAGCGTTTCAAATCCTTCTCACTAGACACAGTGGTGTGGAACAGTATTGGGAAAGTACTGAAGTTGTTAGTAGTCTGCATTCAGGTGCATCTTAAATAGATTCACAAGTCTTTTGAACAAAAGATAAAAATACACATATTTTATGTAATTGGTCACTTTTCTCCAAGCCCAAATCTCCTGTGCTGACTTACTTCCGAGGGCAGTATGCTTGGACACAACCATTTATCCAGCAGTTTATCCCATATTTTGTTCATGTCCAAATCATTAATTTCAGCTATCTCCTGAGCTGCCATGTGGATATCTACATAAACAGGGAGAGACAATATATTTACAAACTAGTATTAGCTTGCTTAGCATTTTTTAAAGAACTTCATTTTGCTCCTTGGAAACTTGATTATGGACACTCACCTGGATAACCTCTGCCAGCTGGGTTTTGGATTCTTTGGTCTATACTGTGGTGTTCATACAGTAAAGTGACAAGGTTTGCTGGCTTCCCAACAGACTTTAAATGCTCTCCAGTGTTCAGGTGATGTGTTATTAGAATGTTTTCTGTTGCTGATCGCTTATACTGCATGTGTAATTTCTTCTGCAGGACTTCCACTTTTTCAAGAGAGTCATCCTTCAGCAAAACACCACAGTTTTATATAGAACAACCTCCTTTTACTCAAAAGCACTAGAAAATTCATCTTTTTATAATCTAAAACAGTGAACTGAGTAGCAAGATCTGTTCTTCAGATGTGTCCCCATACCTGTACCTACAGGTATTTTTTCTGTGAACAGACAGTATTAACCATCCTGCTCTAGTGAGAAAAACACAGTTAAAATAAGTGAATTTAATTCCCCACATGCACCAGCATGTAAAATTAAGACATTCTGAGGTAAGATGGAGAAGGAAAAAGATTTTATATTAAAACTTGGCTGCTAGAACTACAGTTGCAAGGCTGAGATTCTTATTCACCTTTCCCTATCAACCATGTAAAAATGAGCCAGAGAATCAAGCCAAAGCAGACTTTCTTTATATGTACTACTATAAATAGCTAAAGAATCTTGGAACTCAAAGCAGAAGTCAATAATGCCATTGATCTAACAGCTGGAACAGATTCTAACTCATTCTCCTGCAGCAAGAAAAAATGCACCCAACAGGAGAAAGAACATATTATTCTTCCTTAAAATTGTATATTATTTGTCCAGCCTGCAAGAACTGTAAGCCTAACTTTTGCTAGGTTGTGGAAAGGAGAATGTTATGGGAGAGAAAGGGTTGGTTATGGTACAATTTACACACCACAGTCCAAACCACTGACATAAGTACCCAACTATGCAACAACAGTCTTGCAAGCAGTTTACCATTACCTTAGCTGTAGTGTTCTTTAGCCATTTCTCAGTTAGACGGAGACAGAATTTCAATGCTTGAATATGGTCAGGACCTTTTTTAAAGATAAAAAGAAAGGGGTGAAGGAAGTAAATAAGTTTTCATTAATTCTTTCTACAGAATATCCATTTTATTTCAAAGAATAAAACCAAAAAAACCCAGATGCTATTTAAAATATTAGGAAAGCTTTTGTGCCTAAAGAGCAAAAAAATACCTATTTGGAATGAGATAATAGAGAAGCCAGCTTAAATTTGGCTGACAGATTTGCTTTTGCTGGAAAACTTGTCTGAAGGTGGTAGGAACATGCAGAAACTTTAAGCAACACAACGTGGCTTAAAAAAAGTAAGAAAAGGATTTAAGAATGATGTTGCGTTATAAAATGGCTGTTCTAACATTCTGTTCAAAACTGGATGTAGGAGACAAATGCATTTTTATTCTCAAACTTCCCAGGGTTTTATCCAACACTGAACGAATGTTTGGTCACAGGCTTCAAACCTATTCTCCTCCTCCCATTATTTCACCCCTCAAGTCATCACGTGCATCTCACCTGTTGGAAATTCTTGTGCAATCTTGTGAGCAATAGCTACAGCCCACTCTGGGTTAATTATAGACAGCAGATATGACTGGATGGTCTGCACGGTTTTAGTTGTTTCCTTGCTAACAATGGATGTATATCCAGTGTTTCTCATTTCAAATATTTTTGGTTTCAGTTTCTTTTCAAAGATATGTCGAGCTGCAGACATGTGTAAGGTGTCCAGTGAAACCTACAAAAACATTGAAGCAGATGAAGAGTTGCTAGAAGTTCTATAGTGAGGCCAAAATCATGGATAAGAAAGAAGCTATTTTTTGGGGGGGAAAAGAATGATTTTTGAAATAAATTCTTTCAGGATGCTACTTTACCTTCATTAGTTTGGAAATCAGGAGAAGTGTTGGGAAGGATTCCTCACTGAGCTCTGCAGCTGAAAGGAAAAAGATACATGATAGTGTCACACATATATCATAGTGTCACAGTCCAATTCAGCTTTATCCGTGAAATTAAGCACTTTCAGTTTATTGTTAGATGCAGACTTCCATTGGGAGAGAAAGAATATAATCTGAATTATCCCCAGTGGCCTGGGAAGTGGGATACATGGGTTACTTTGGTCTTTGAGAGGCCATAAGAAAAGTATTTGAGGACAGGATTCTGCATTGTCTATATTGTCTTAGCTCCTCTGAAAGCCAGTTATCACACCAGTAGCATTTTGGGAGCACAAGCACTTTCAGAAGAAGCTGGGATGAAAGCTGCATTAGTAAAGAAATACAATGAATATAAAATAGATATGGTAGAACTGTAAAGTTCACAGATAGCAGAGAAAGGGAATTATACATCTATCTAACCATAACAGAATACTGAACTTACATATAATGTTCCAGAAGCATTGTGCAGTTCTAAAGAATATCAGATGAAAAGGCAGTCTGGTTTGAGCAGCTGGAGATAAAGGAATCATGTGCTCTAAAACATATTGGTGTTCCAGGTCTACAGGTGAGGAAATTCTTTTATAAGATTCCAGATGTTTGAGGAGGCTCAAAGCCTGGGGTGGGAATTAAAACAAGAAAAAGTAAGAAAAAACCTAAAGAAAAGGCAAAAAAGCCACAAGATTAGTGTATTTCTACCTGCTCCCTGGAGGTGTTTGGGCTTTTTGGCAGAGTTAGTATATATTGGTAGAGTTTTAATCCCTGCTATGAGCCGTTGCTGAGAAGCAACTGAAGATGACTATTTCTTGAATGCTATTTTCTGAATAAGGGCTGTGTAGATAGACAAATTCCATTACTTTCAACAGACTCTTGAATAGCTCTGCTCATAAATAGAAAAAACAGGACATAGGTGCTATTAGCAAGGTAATGGCAACATATCTGGACATACCTGATTCAGCTGGATGCTGGTGTTCTTTTCATCAGCATTTTGTATCACTTTCAGGACAATTTCAATAGTTTCATAGTCATAAGGATCAAGCTGTTCAAAATAATGATTTCTTTTATAAGATCTTATATGATTTGTTTTATAAAAACATAAACTGAGTTAACTTTTCCCAATTTTAATACCAACTTTTTCTTCAGTGTTATGTCAATAGAAGCACCATGATGTACTTCTCTAAAACAAGAGACTTCCACTTCACATTTTTAAAGCCTAAAAAAACCTGTCAGGATGTTGCAAAGACCAGAGAAAGTGATTAAAAGAAAAACAAGCAAAAAACCCCAATGCTCTCTTCCCCCCCAGTAAGAAAATTCCCCAAACCCAAGCAAACAAAGAAAACTCAACCAAGACATAAGTTTTTTCTCCCTGTTCTTCATGGAGCACTTTGAATTATTTCCATTGTGCTGATACTTAGAAATTACTTTTTTCCTTTGGTTATTTTCAGGTGGTTGTTTTAAGGGAGGTTGGGAAGAAAGACTCTACCTGTCTAAAGAAAATCAGATAGGTTGCTCTACTTTTTTCCCCTAGAGAACCAGAGAACCCCAAACTTATTTACATTCTTTAGGAACACTTGAAAAAATACAACCTTTTCATATTTCTGTGTTGCTCTTAATGTGTCATTCAAGTGACATGCAGCATTTGAGGCTAGATACATACTCCAGGGATTCTTTCTGTTTCTTTTGGTTGTTTTTACGTTGTTTTACCTTGTACAATATTCCACTGAGGCTGATGACCAGTTCTTCTGTGCTTTTCAGCAGAGGAATTATTTCCAGTGCTCTAGCTAGTAAGGTGGAATGAGATTGCTTCTCCCTGCATTCTGCAGAGTCATCTTTGACATGATTTGTATTAGCATTCTGGAGAAGAAGCGTCTCAATGCAAAGCTGCAGTGCGGCATCACTGTCCAGCTTGAAAGTACTGGAAGAGGACACAGTTGTTATTTTCCCTGTGACCTTTGGTGTTGTCAAGGTGCTTATTTCCTTATGAATAATTCACCAGAGAGCAGTTTGTATCCTGATTAATACTAAAAAAACAACCCCAACAAACAGAAGAAGTTGCATATTACATGAATTAGTATCTATTTAAACCCAAACAGATTTCAGGAGGCCCGGTTATTAGTGCAGCCACAACTAAACACAGTTGATTTGCTTCAATTCTTACCTGCAGTAATTCAATATGAGATCTGTGTCTGCTTTAGGATTTTGTACCAGTGTTCTTATGAGCTCCTTCTTCCTTATTGGTGGTTGTCTAAATACAGTCTCAAAAGAAATCTGCAGAAAACCAAACATTTTTATCCTCTTTCCAAAGATGTCTTTAAGACAATATCCAGACTAATTCCTACATAGTCAACCTTTTATGTTTTCTTTACTTTCAGACACTTTTAGGGCAGGAAAAACCAATGCATTTGTTGACTATGCCCTGTGCCAAATAATATTTAAGCACTTAAAATTTCTTTTATAGCACCCTCAGTTATTGCATTTCTCAGTTTCTGAGGCTTATATGAGCAGACAATCAGAATGAAAAATTAAAACCAAACCCCCAACTTTCATTTGAATGGAAAATGTGTCTAAAAAATCACAATGCATCTCAGAATATGTGGACATTTATCAGTTAATAAACCCCTAACATAAATCAACTAACCAATCAAACTTACGCCAAGTTTACCAAGTTGGATACCCCACTCTGCATCAGTAACCAGTTCTTGGAACTTCTTCTTTTCTTCAGCTTCATCAGACTGGTTAGCAAGCTGTGCCCCAACCAGAGCCACTGCCTGAAAGGAGTGAGAAGGGAAGTGAACACCAGTATAACAAATACTCTGAAAATTGGGTCTAAATCCTTAAAGGAACTTAAAACAATTCAGCCTCACAGAGGAAGTATCAGCATTATCCTACCTCCCGAGATGGGGGTTCAAAGCTACTTCAAAATTGAGTTTCTTTCTCAGAAATATTTTGTTAATATTGTACTAGTGAAACTAATACAAAAGGTATTTTTAGACACCTTGTTTTCTGCAAATTTGTGTCACTCTTCCCATTTCTTTGTTCTGCTTTGCTTCCCATGTTCCTTTATATTTTAATAGACTTTGTTATTCATTCAAATTCTTGACAACTGCTGTCAGAGAACAATTTCTCCAAAATACAACATAGGTATAAATTATGATGGGACCTGAAATAACCCATTTCAAGCTTTGGAATAAGTCATGATAAGGTAACCTAATGCTTGGACATCCATCATGCCAACTATTCACAACTGCTTGTGCACAATCTTACGTTGTGTTAAAGAGAGGTAGCATCTCTCTGAGTGGCACCCTATGAAAGAGGAATTTATTCAAACTGCTGCACCCTTAATAACGGCAAACTATTACACTTCCACATGATATTGCTGATATCTTTTCTGAAAGAACCATTCTCTATTTGCTGAATAAATGCAGTGCCTTGTGGATTTACCAGGATTTTTCTGTAATTTTGCCATGTATTGTTTATGACCTCCCACAGCTTATTGAACATATCTTCCTTGGGCAAAACCGTGCAATATCCCAGTGCCAGGTCCTGATCTATGAGACGACAGTTGAACACCTGTGTTTTAGGGAGGAAAGAGAAAAAAAACACCCAAAACAAGTTATAAACTTTAGGCATTTAATTTTAATAGGTATCTTTGTATGAAGTATAATACATTAAAAGTACTCTGTAATTTAGAAGTATATTGGGTGTTTAAGGGAGGGGGGGGAACAGAATAAAAATGCATTTCAGATTTTAGAACTTAAAAACTAAATATACTGAAGCCAGTCTAAAAGTCACTTCCCTTAGTCTAAACTGCCATAAAAGATGGTATATTGCAGGTTTTTCAGCTAGCTTTTTAAAAAGCTGCCCTCAACTAGAAGTCTACAAATCTCAAATGAAACCAGGATTGAAAATGAGATGGAGACCTACAGATCATAAAGACCATTATTATAATTTAGGAGTCCTTAAAGGATCCCGCAAAGATGAAGCTTCCACTGTACCTAACCTCTCAGGCAGAGCAGCCAGATTCTTACCTTGTGTAGTAAGGCCAGGATAGTGCTCGTGATTACTGAAGTACTGTTCTGTTTCATAGCAATGACCAAGCGATTGGTTTCAGCCATTGTATTGCCATCATGGAGCTGTTATATAAAACCAACAACCAGTCAGCACATCGTTAACAATAAATTCTAAGCCTCCAACTTCTCTTGTCATTTACTGCAGAATAGGAGGCACTATAGTAACTGTATTTTCAGATTTAATTAAGGTCTTATAAAGATCTCTTCTAGATAGAAAAAGGATTTCTGTTTCCAAGTGCTTTTGAACTGAGGAGTGTTTCTTGAATATTCTGTGTGCAGCTTTTCCCATACTAACCAACGGTAAAACAATGTCAAAAAGCATAATAAACCATTATGAATATATAATTATTATGTAA